GAGCCAACAAGTACCCAATGGTGCCAACCAGCAGCCAATGGGGACCAGCGGCACCCAATGGAGAGCAGCGGCACTCAATGGAGCCAACCGGCAGCCAATGGACAGCAGCGGCAGTCAATGGAGCCAACCGGCAGCCAATGGAGAGCAGCGGCAGTCAATGGAGCCAAGCAGCACCCAATGGAGCCAAGCAGCACCCAATGGAGCCAAGCAGCACCCAATGGATCCAAGCAGCACCCAATGGAGCCAAGAGGCACCCAATGGAGCCAAGCGGCAGCCAATGGAGCCAAGCGGCAGTCAATGGAGCCAAGCAGCACCCAATGGAGCCAACCGGCACCCAATGGAGCCAAGAGGCACCCAATGGAGCCAAGCGGCAGCCAATGGAGCCAAGCGGCAGCCAATGGAGCCAAGCAGCACTCAATGGAACCAAGCAGCACCCAATGAAGTCGAATGGCACTCAATGGAACCAACCACACTCAATGGAGCCCATTGGCACCCAAATGAGCCAAACGGTACCCAGTGGAGCCAAGCGGCACCCAATGAAGTCGAATGGCACTCAATGGAGCCAACCACACTCAACAGAGCCCATTGGCACCCAATGGAGCCAAACGGTACCCAGTGGAGCCAACGAGCACCCAATGGAGCTGAATGTCACCCAATGGAGCCCACCACACTCAATGGAGCCCAGCAGCACCCAACAGAACCAACTGCACTTAACAGAACTCAGTGGCACCCAATGGAGCCAAATGGCACCCAACGGAACTGACCATCAGCCAGTGGAGCCCAGAGGCACCCAATGGAACTGAACACCACCCAATGGAGCCAAGCAGCACCCAATGGAGCAAAGCACCCAATGGAGCCAACTGCACCCAATGGAGCCACCTGCACCCAGTGGAGCCAACTGGCACCCAACAGAGCCAATCACCAACACCAAGACGAACCCAACTTCAATGTCCCCACCATGACCAACTTTCAGCCACTGCGTCCCCCCCATGGCCAGAACCAACCTTCACCCACTACATCCACACCGAGACCAACCCAGCTCTGATACCCCCATGAAGACCAACCCAAAACTGACATCTCCACCATGACCGAGACCAACCCAACCTTGATGTCCCACCATGACCAAGACCAACCCATCCTTGATGTCCTTGCCAGGACCAAGACCAACCCAACCTTGACATCTCCACCATGACCAAGACCAACCCATCCTTGATGTCCTTGCCAGGACCAAGACCAACCCATCCTTGATGCCCCACCATGACCAAGACCAACCCATCCTTGATGTCTTTGCCAGGACCAAGACCAACCCATCCCTGATGCCCCCACCATGACCAAGACCAACCCATCCTTGATGTCTTTGCCAGGACCAAGACCAACCCAACCTTGATGTCTTTGCCAGGACCAAGACCAACCCATCCTTGATGCCCTCACCATAAACAAGACCAACCCATCCTTGATGTCCCACCATGACCAAGACTCATCCCAACCTTGTCGTCTCCACCAAGACCAAGTCATTTGTTGATGTCTCCACCATGACGAACCCAACCTTGACGTTGCCCCCAGACCAATCCGGTCTCTCCATCCCCACCATGCCCACGATCAATGGATCCCTGCTGCTCCCTCCCACCACGACCCCAACGCGGCGCCCACCTCCCGGAGGCTGATCTTGGCCGGGTACACGATGTCGGAGCCGTCCCTTCGGAAGACCCCGTGAGGTTTGTCCTTGAGGACGAAGACGACGTCGGCGGGGATGTTGGTGGGGGTCTGGTCCCCTTCCTTGGGGAAGGTGATTTTGGTGCCCTCCTTCCAGCCCCGCTTCACCTCGATGGTGAGGATCTTGTCCTCATTCCTCACCGTCTTCCCGTCGGGGTTGAGGCGCTTGTGGGAGATCTTCATCTTCTTGGTGCAGCCGCTGTAGATCTCCTCCAGGGAGACCTTGAGGTCGTAGAGCACGGGGGGGTCCTGGCGGCGGGCCCCGGGCGGGCGCCCGCGGGGGAAGCCCACGTGGAAGGTGGTGAAGGGCTCCTCGTCCTCATCCTCGCCGCTGCGCTGCACGAAGAAGGTGTCGAAGGGGTTGCGGCCGTCGAAGAACTCGGCGAACATGGCGTGGGGGTCCCCCCGGAAGGTGTAGGTGAAGGTGGGGCCGTTGGGGACCCCCCCGGGGCCTGAGGTGGGGGTGCCCCCCTTTAGACCTGGTGTAGGGAGAGGGGGAAGGGGAGGGGATGGAGGGGAGGGGATGGAGGGGAGGGGATGGAGGGGAGGGATGGGGGGAGGGGATGGGGATGAAGGGGATGGAGGGGAGGGGATGGAGGGGATGGGGATGGAGGGGATGGAGGGGAGGGGATGGAGGGGAGGGGATGGGGATGAAGGGGATGGAGGGGAGGGGATGGAAGGGAGGGGATGGGGATGAAGGGGATGGGGAAAAGGGGATGGAGGGGAGGGGATGGGGATGAAGGTGGTAGAGGGACAGGGATGGAGAGATGGGAAGGGGATGGAGGGAAAGGAACAGAAGGACAGGAGGGGAAGGGGATGGAGGGAAGGGCAGGGAGTGCAGGTTAGTGACAGGAACCCTGCTGAATGAATGCCGGCGTGGGGCAGGGTGTGGGGCTGGGCACGGAGCTGGCTGTGGGGCAGGCTATGGGGCAGGGCATGGGGCTGGGTGTGGGGCAGAGCGTGGGGCGGTGGCGCTGAGGGAACCGGTTCTACTCGGGCGCAGACGCCGCTGACGGCCCCAACAGGCCCGGCCGGCTCCAGCACGCCCCAGGCTCCTGCCCCACTGCCGGCCCCATAGCCTGCCCCACTGTCAGGCTCATGGGTGACCCACTGCTGGCCCCATAGCCTGCCCCACTGCTGCCTGCTCCATGGCCCGGCACCCGGCCCCACAGCCTGCCCCACTGCCAGCCCCATAGCTGACCCACTGATGGCCTCATAGCCTGCCCCATGGGCCTGCCCCACTGCCAGCCCCATAGCCTGCCCCACTGACTGCCTCATGGCCTGCCTCACTGCTAGCTCCACCACCAGCCCCACGGCTGATCCACTGACAGCCTCATGGCGTGCTCCACTGCCAGCCCCATAGCCTGCCCCATGTCAGGCCCAGGCCTGCCCCACTGATGGCGTCATGGCCTGCCCCATGGGCAGTGCACCACTGCTCCACTGCCTGCCTCACTGCCTGCCAGCCCCATAGCCTGCCCCATAGCCGATCCACTGACAGCCTCATGGCCTGCTCCACTGCCAGCCCCATAGCCTGCCCCACTGCCAGCCCCATAGCCTGCTCCACTGCCAGCCCCACGGCTGATCCACTGCCAGCCTCATGGCCTGCCCCACAGCCTGCTCCACTGCCAGCCTGAGGCCTGCCCCACTGCCAGCCCCACAGCTGATCCACTGACAGCCTCATGGCCTGCTCCACTGCCAGCCCCATAGCCTGCTCCACTGACGGCCTCATGGCCTGCCCCATGTGCCTGCCCCACTGTCACCCCCCCCACCGCCTGCCCCACTGCCAGCCTCATGGCCTTCCCCACTGCCAGCCCCATGGCTGACCCACTGACGGCCTCGTGGCCTGCCCTACTGCTCCACTGCTAGCCCCAGGCCTGCCCCACAGCCCCCCCCCACTGCCAGCCCCAGGCCTGCCCCACTTAAGCCCCACAACTGACCCACTGACAGCCGCACAGCCTGCCCCATGGTCCTGCCCCACTGCCAGCCCCATACCCTGCCCCACTGCTGCCTGCCCCATGGCCCAGCACTCAGCCCCACTGCCAGCCCCACGGCTGCCCCATAGCTCACCCTCCTCCCCGTACTTGTCGAAGATCTCCCGTTTCTTGGGGTCGCTGAGCACATCGTAGGCCTCGGCCACCTCCTTGAAGCGCTCCTCGGCGCCGGGCTCCTTGTTCTTGTCCGGGTGGAAGCGCAGGGCCTGCCGCCGGTACGCGCGGCGAATGTCCTCGCTTGAGGCGCCGCGGGACAGCCCCAGCGTGCGGTAATAGTCCTTGCCCATGTCGCGATATGATCGCGATCGCGATCCCGATCCCGATCCCGATCCCGATCCCGATCCCGGCTCCGGCTCCGGCTCCGGCTCCGGCCCCGCCGCCGCCTCACTGAGGCGCAGCCGGAACCTTCCAGAGCCCGCCGAGCGCCTGGCACCGCCCCCGCCGCGTATCTGCCAATGGGAGAGCGCCCCGCCCCGCCCCTCCGTACGGCTGCCAATCGGAGAGCGGTGCGTCGCGGAGAGGGGCGGGGCGTGGGGTGGAGGTGGGAGGGGGAGGTTGCCATGGCAACCGGGACAAGCTGCTATTGGTACCACCTCTGGCCCCCCCACCGGAGAGCGTCACCATGGCAACGCGTCGGCATCACCCGCCATGACAGCACTGTCACCCATAGGCGCTGTCACCCATAGACACCTACACCCCCAGTGACAGCCTGAACCTGTCACCCCCTGTGACACCCTGTCACCCATAGAGACACCTTGTCACCCATAGACACTATTATCATCACCCATAGTGACACCCTGTCAACCATAGCCACCTACACCTGCAGTGACAGCCCGACCCTGTCTCCTAAAGCCACCATCATGCACAGAGCCAGCAAGGGGGCATAAATACACTGGGACACAGGGACAGGGGAATATGGGACATGGGGATATGGGGATATGGGAGTACAGGGACATGGAGATACGGGGATACAGGGACATGGGGACATGGGAATATTGGGGATATGGGGATACAGGGACATGGGGATAATGGGATACAGGGACATGGGGATATGGGACATGGGGTCCCCGAAGCCCCGACCACCCGAAGGCCCGCCTCCCTCCCCTCGTCCCGCCTCCCTATTGGCTGCCTCCTCCTTCCTCCACCCCCGCCTCCTCCTCCCATTGGCAGCGGCGCGCTCAGGAGTTCCCGTTGCCCCAGTAACAGCGAAGGGGCGGGGCAGAGCGCAGGGGGCGGGACCGCCGCGAGGGGTGGGAGGGTGGGAGGGAGGGAGTCACACCACGCTCGTTGATTGGCTGTCCCCTCCCAGCCCCGCGGCAGCGATTGGCGGGGGCGTGAGGAGGCGGTTGACGTCAGCAGGGGGCGCCGGGCGGGAGCAGCCATGAAGCACTACGAGGTGAGCGGCGGCACCGGGGGCCCGGGCCCGGCCGAGGCCGCAACCCCGGCTCCAGCCCCGGACCCAACCCCGGCTCCAGCCCCGGCTCCAGCCCCGCTCCCGGTCCCGGCTCCGGTTCCAGCTCCACGGACCCGCGAGGCGCCGCTGCGGTGCTGCGCATGCGCCGGGCACGACGGGCAGCGCCACGGACAGACGGGGGGGGCGCGTGTGCGCATGAGCGGTTGGGTGTCCCCAGGGGTGCCGGGTCCCATTGGGGTGTCCCCTATGGCCCCTGTGTATGCGCTGTATATGGGGGTTTATATGTGATATATAACATATATATAGTATATATAGAGAGACCATATGTGTATATACAGTATATATGGCATGTATATAGCATATATAGTATGTACAAAGTGTGTATATGGTATATATACAGTGTATAGATGCCATATATATAGTATATACGTTATATATACTATATATACATGGTATATATATCATATACACGAAGTATATATGATATATGTAGTATATATAATATATATAGTGTATATATGCTATATTTATAGTATATACACCATGTATATAGTGTATATATGGCACATACATAATATATACAGTGTATATACTATATATGTATAGTATATAGACTATATAATGTATATACTGTATATATAGTACATATACATAGTATGCAGCGTACATATAGTGTAAATATGCCATACGTATAGCATATATAGCACATATACACACTATGTATAGTGTATATATGGCACACACGTAGCATCTATAGTATAAATACCCAGTATATATACTTTATACACAGTGCATATACAGTGTATATATAGTATATATAACACATACCTATATAGCATACACAGTCCCTATATATAGCTGCCCCTACAGTGGGGTCCCAGGGGTGCAAGGCCCCATTGGGTGTCCCCTTTATGGGAGTCCCAGACCCCCTTTGGTTGTCCCTAAGGGGACAGCCCCCATCCCCATAGCCCCATCCCATGGGTGCCACCCCCTATTTGGGTGTCCCCAAGGCTGCCACCCCTATTTGGGTGCCAGCAGATAACACACCCTGCCCCCCCCCTCCTAGCACACCCCATGGGTGCCACCACCCACTGTGGGTCCCATTGATGGGGGGGGGAAGAGGGGTCCCTCCTTACCTCCTGTGTCCCCTTCACCACCGCCTCCCGTTGCCCCTCATGGCCACCTCCAGGGCCACCTTTGGGGCCACGGTGGCCAAGAGCCACCCCATGACGTGATGGCAATGGGATGGGTGCCATTGGGTGGTGATGCTTGGGGGGGGGGGGGGGTGCCTTTATATTTAGCAGCACCCTAAGGCCCGATCAGGTTTCGGGCCGTGCCCAAGGGCCATGGAGGAGGCCCCGGTGGCTCTGTCCCCATTGCTGGAGCTGTGGCACCGGGCCCCCCCCCCGAAGAAGCTCAAGAAAGCCACTCTCTTCTTCGAGGTGGAGATCCTGGATGCGCGCAGCCGCCAGAAGCTCTGCTTCCTCGACAAGGTACCCATGGACCCCCCCCTATGCCCACAATGGGGTGACCCCATCATGGTGATGGGGATGGGGGCACACACACACAACACCCATCCCCTTTCCTTACCCCCCTCCTCCCTAATGCCCACAATGGGGTGACCCCATCATGGTGATGGGGATGGGGGCACACACACACAACACCCATCCCCTTTCCTTACCCCCCTCCTCCCCACTGCCCACAATGGGGTGACCCCATCATGATGATGGTGATGGGGGCACACACACACAACACCCATCCCCTTTCCTTACCCCCCTCCTCCCTAATGCCCACAATGGGGTGACCCCATCATGGTGATGGTGATGGGGGGCACACACACACAACACCCATCCCCTTACCTTACCCCCCTCCTCCCTAATGCCCACAATGGGGTGACCCCATCATGGTGATGGTGATGGGGGGCACACACACACAGCACCCATCCCCTTTCCTTACCCCCCTCCTCCCCAATGCCCACAATGGGGTGACCCCATCATGGTGATGGGGATGGGGGCACACACACACAACACCCATCCCCTTTCCTTACCCCCCTCCCCACTGCCCACAATGGGGTGACCCCATCATGGTGATGGGGATGGGGGCACACACACACAGCACCCATCCCCTTTCCTTACCCCCCCCCCCCCACTGCCCACAATGGGGTGACCCCATCATGGTGATGGGGATGGGGGCACACACACACAGCACCCATCCCCTTCCCTTACCCCCCTCCTCCCTACTGCCCACAATGGGGTGACCCCATCATGGTGATGGGGATGGGGGCACACACACACAACACCCATCCCCTTTCCTTACCTCCCCCCCACATCATAGGTAGAGCCTCACGCCACCATCGCTGACATCAAGAACCTCTTCACCAAGGCCCGTAGGTGGCAGCTGGGGGCACCCATAAGGGACATTGGGGGCACTCATTGGGGGCACCCATAGGGGGACATTGGGGCACCCATAGGGGGACATTGGGGTCACTCATTGGGGGCATCCATAGGGGGACATTGGGGCACCCATAAGGGATATTGGGGCACCCATAGGGGGACATTGGGGGCACCCATAGGGGGACATTGGAGCACCCATAAGGGACACTGGGGCACCCATAGGGGGACATTGGGGGCACCCATAAGGGACATTGGGGCACCCATAGGGGGACACTGGGGCACCCATAAAGAACAATGGGGGCACCCATAGTGGGACATTGGGGGCACCCATAAGGGGTCATTGGGGCACCCATAGAGGAACATTGGGGCACCCATAGAGGGACATTGGGGGCACTCATTGGGGGCACCCATAGGGGGCACTGGGGGCACCCATAGGGGGACATTGGGGGCACCGATAAAGAACAATGGGGGCACCCATAGGGGGACACTGGGGCACCCATAAGGGACATTGGGGCTCCCACACCCCTCGGGTGCCATCGTTGTCCCCAAGGGGCCACCAGTGCCGTGTCCCTTGTGCCCTGCAGATCCCCAGTGGTACCCAGCCCGGCAGTCACTGCGGCTGGATCCCAGTGAGTGGTACCCAGGGGATAATGGGGGGTCTATAGGGGTTTATGGGGGGTCTATGGGGGTCTATAGGGGGTTTATGGGGCGTCTATAGGGGGTTTATGGGGGTCTGTGGGGGTCTATAGGGGTTTATGGGGGTCTATAGGGGGTTTATGGGGGTCTATGGGGGGTTTATGGGGGTCTATGGGGTCTATTGGGGGTCTATGGGGGGTCTATAGGGGGTCTATAAGGGTTTATGGGTGTCGATGGGGTATATTGGGGGTCTATAGGGGGTTTATGGGGGTCTATTGGGGGTCTGTGGGGGGTTTATGGGGGTCTATGGGGTCTACTGGGAGTGTATGGGAGGTCTGTAGGGGATCTATAAGGGTTTATGGGTGTCTATGGGGTCTATTGGGGGTCTATAGGGGGTTTATGGGGGTCTATTTGGGGTCTATGGGGGGTTTATGGGGGTCTATGGGGTCTATTGGGGGTCTATAGGGGGTTTATGGGGGTCTATTGGGGGTCTATGGGGGGTTTATGGGGGTCTATGGGGTCTATTGGGGGTCTATGGGGGGGTTTATGGGGGGGGTTTATGGGGGTTTATGGGTGTCTATGGGGGTCTATAGGGGGTTTATGGGTGTCTATGGGGTCTATGGGGGGTCTATGGGGGTCTATGAGGGTTTATGGTGTGTCTATTGGGGGACTTGTGGGGGCTTATGGGGGGCTATGGAGGCTTTATGGGGGTTTATGGGGGCCTACAGCGGGTTTATAGGTGTCTATGTGTGTGTATGGGGTCTATGGTGGGTTTATGGGGGTCTATGGGGGTCTGTGGGGTCTGTGGGTCTCTGGTCAGCAGGCTGTCCCTGCAGAGGGCCGGTCCCTGAAGGATGAGGATGTGCTGCAGAGCCTCCCCGTGGGTACCACGGCCACCTTCTACTTCCGAGACCTCGGGGCACAGATCAGCTGGGTGACGGTGAGGAGATGGGGTCAGGGCTCCTGGCACAGCTCCTGCATCCATCATCCATCCATCATCCATCATCATCATCATCCATCATCATCCATCATCATCCATTCATCCATCCATCATCATCATCCATCATCCATCATCATCATCATCCATTATCCATCATTATCATTATCATCCATCATCATCATCCATTATCCATCATCATCATCCATCATCATCATCATCCATCATCATCCATCATCATCCATTCATCCATCCATCATCATCATCCATCATCCATCCATCCATCCATCCATCATCCATCCATCCATCCATCGTCATCCATGCATCCATCCATCATCCATCCTTCATCCATCCATCATCATCCATCCATCCATCCATCCATCCATCATCCATCCATCATCATCCATCATCCATCCATCATCCATCATCATCCATCCATCCATCATCCATCATCCATCCCTCACCCATCCCCCATCCCATGCCCCCATCCATATCTCTATGCCCCCCTGCCCGTGGCCCATCCCCCCCATCCCATCCCCATTCCAGGTGTTCCTGACGGAGTACGCGGGGCCGTTACTCATTTACCTGCTCTTCTACTTCCGGGTCCCCTTCCTGTATGGGCCCCGCTACGACTTCACTGCCAGCAGGCACCGAGTGGTCCAGTGAGTGCTGCCAATGGGGCAATAGGGGCAGTGTGGGGCAATGGGGGGCAATGGGGGTGATGGGGGTAATGGGGACAATGTGGGGCAATAGGGACGATGTGGGGCAATGGGGGAATGGGGCCAATCGGGGGGTCTTGGAGGGTGTTGGGGAGGGGGGACTCAGCACCTCACTTGGATGCAGCTGGATTTGGGGCAGGGGGAGCAGAGCTGTCACCTAGATCCCCTATATCCCCTATGTCCCCTATATCCCCTATATCCCCTATATCCCCTATATACTCTATATCCTCTATATCCCCTATACCCCGCATGTCCCCTATGTCCCCTATATCCTCTATAGCCTCTATGTCCCCTATATCTCCTATATCCTCTATATCCGCTCATGTCCCCTGTGTTCCCTATATCCCCCATGTCCCCTATGTCTCCTATATCCTCTATAGCCTCTATGTCCCCTATATCTCCTCATGTCCCCTATGTCCCCTATATCCCCTATATCCCCCCATGTCCCCCCAGCCTGGCCTGTGCCTGTCACTCCTTCCACTACATCAAGCGCCTCTTGGAGACCCTCTTCATCCACCGCTTCTCCCATGGGACCATGCCCCTGCGCAACATCTTCAAGGTGAGCCCCCCCCGTGTCCCTTTGATGGGTGCTGCCGGGGGGGTGTCCCCGGTGTCACCCATGGGTGCTCTCTGTGTGTCCCCCCCACACCCAGAACTGCACCTACTACTGGGGCTTTGCTGCCTGGATGGCCTATTACATCAACCACCCGCTGTACACCCCCCCCGGTGAGTGCTGGCACCCCCTGGCACCCATGCACCCTATAGACCTGACCATCACCCATCCCTGTCACCCACTGTCACCCATCACCCATGCACCCTATAGACCTGACCATCACCCATCCCTGTCACCCACTGTCACCCATCACCCATGCACCCTATAGACCTCACCATCACCCATCCCTGTCACCCACTGTCACCCATCACCCATGCACCCTATAGACCTGACCATCACCCATCCCTGTCACCCGTCACCCTATCACCCATCAGGTCACACCTCCATCAGTGTCACTGTCACTGTCACCCACTGTCACCCATCACCCATGCACCCTATAGACCTGACCATCACCCATCCCTGTCACCCATCACCCTATCACCCATCAGGTCACACATCCATCAGTGTCACCGTCACTGTCACCCATCACCCATGCACCCTATAGACCTGCTTTGTCACCATCCCTGTCACCCTCACCCATCCCTGTCACCCATCAGATCACATCCCCATCAGTGTCACTGTCACCCATCACCCATGCACCCTATAGACCTGACCATCACCCATCCCTGTCACTGTCACCCATCCCTGTCACCCATCAGATCAAGACCCCCATGAGTGTCCCCATCCCTGTCCCTGTCCCCCCACAACCTATGGGGATACTGCAGGGGGGTGTCCTTATCCTTGACCCCCCCCTTGTGTCCCCTCAGCCTATGGGGATGATCAGGTGAAGCTGGCGCTGGCCATGTTCCTGGTGGGTGCTATGGGGCGCTGTGGGGTGCTGGGGGGCCTATGGAGGGCTGTGGGTGCATTGGGGGCTATGGGGTGCTGGAGAAGCCATGGGGTGCTATAGGGTGCTATGGGGTGTTGGGGGGGTCTATGGAGGGCTATGGGATGTGGGGGGGCTAGGGGGTGTATTGGGGTACTATGGGATGCTGGGGGGGGCTATGGGGTGCTGGAGGGGCATTGGGTGCGAGGGAGTACTGGGGGGTTATGGGGTGTTGGTTGGGTCTATGGGGTGCATTGGGGTGCTATAGAATGCATGGGGGTCTATGGGGTGTATTGGGGTGCTATGAGGTGCATGAAGGTCTAGGGGGGCATGGGTGTCTATGGGATGTATTGGGGGTCTATGGGGTCCATGGGGGTCTATGGGATGTATTGGGGTGCTATGGGGTGTATTGGGGTGCTATGGGGTACATGGGGGTCTATGGGATGTATTGGGGGTCTATGGGGTGCACCCCCCCTTGATCTCCCCCCCCCAGTTTTGCCAGCTCGGGAACTTCTCCATCCACGTGGCCCTGAGGAACCTGCGCCCTGCGGGTGAGGACATGGACGTGGTCACGTGTGTGCGGGGTCACATGTGGGGGGGGTCACGTGTGTGCAGGGTCATGTTTGTGCTGGGTCACATGTGTGAGGGGTCACGTGTGTGTGGGGTCACATGTGTGCGGGGTCATGTTTGTGCTGGGTTGCAGGGGACACACATGGGGGTGTTGCACAGGGGGTCACATGCATATGTCAGGATGTCACGTCACACGTGTTATGTATGTTACATGTTACATACATGTTACATACATGTCATGTGTTAACCGCATTACACGACGTGTATGATGTTACATTACATACATGTCATGCGTTACATACATGTTCCATACATGTGTTACACACATGTCCCATACGTGTCCCATACATGTTACATGTTACACCCATGCCCCATGCATGTTACGTGTTACACCCATGTCCCATACATGTTACACCCATGTCTCATACATGTCCCATACGTGTTACGTGTTACATGTCCCATACATATTACGTTACACCCATGTCCCATACATGTTACGTGTTACATACATGTCCCATACATGTTACATGTTACACCCCTGTCCCATCCAGGCTCCAAGACGCGCAAGATCCCGTACCCCACCCGCAACCCCTTCACATGGCTCTTCCTGCTCGTCTCCTGCCCCAACTACACCTACGAGGTGGCACCGGGGCCATGGGGGGCACTGGGGGGGGCTATGGGGGGGTGTATTGGGGGGCACTGGGGGGGCTATGGGGTGTATTGGGGGGCAGTGGGGGTGTACTGGGGTCACTGGGTGCCATTGGGGAGCACTAACGGCCCCCCATGGGTGCTGCCCCCCCCCAGGTCGGCTCCTGGATCGGTTTCACCATCATGACCCAGTGCCTGCCTGGTGAGGGGGGGGTCATTGTGATGGGGGGACCCAAGGGGAGGAGTCACCTTTGGGGGGGGGCAACCCCGGAGTCTCCCCATGCCCCCCCCATGCTCCTTGTCCCATTCCTTGTCCCATGCTGAGCTCAGGGTCCCCATAGCCCTTGTCCCACTGCCACCAATGTCCCCTATGCCCTCAATGTCCCCATTGTCCCCTTTGCCTCCAATATCCCCATTGCCCCCAATGCCCCCAATGTCCCCATTGCCCCCAATGTCCCCAATGTTCCCATTGCCCCCAATGTCCCTATTGCCCCCATTGCCCCCAATGTCCCCATTACCCCCAATGTCCCCATTGCCCCCATTGCCCCCCATGTCCCCATTGCCCCCAAAGTCCCCATTGCCCCCAACGTTCCCGTTACCCCCAATGTCCCCATTGCCCCCAATGTCCCCATTGCCCCCAATGTCCCCATTGCTCCCATTGCCCCCAATGTCCCCATTACCCCCATTGCCCCCCATTGCCCCCAGTGTCCCCATTACCCCCATTGCCCCCAGTGTCCCCATTACCCCCATTGTCCCCCTGTCCCCGCAGTGGCTCTCTTCTCGCTGGTGGGCTTTGTGCAGATGGCCATCTGGGCGCAGGGCAAGCACCGCAGTTACCTGCGGGAGTTCCGCGAGTACCCGGCCCTGCGCTCCCCCATCGTCCCCTTCCTGCTCTGAGCACCCCCTGGGGGCACCCGATGGGGAACCCCAACGAGACACCCGATGGGAGACCCCAATGGGGGACACATGGACACGGACCCATTGGGGTGCCCCCATTGGGTGTCCCCACTGGGTGTCACCACTGGGGTATCCCCATTGGGTGCCCCCATTGGGGTGTCCCCATTCTCACCACTGGGATGTCCCCATTGGGTGTCCCCATGGTCGTGTCCCCAGTGGGGTGTCCCCATTCTCACCATTGGGGTGTCCCCATTCTCACCATTGGGGTGTCCCCATTGGGGTGTCCCCATTGGGGTGTCCCCATTCTCACCATTGGGGTATTCCCACTGGGGTGTCCCCATTGGGTGTCCCCTGTCCCTGGCAATAAAACACAAGGAGAGCTCCGGGTGTTTATTGAGGCCTCACGCCTGTGTCACGCGGCTGTCACGTGGGTGTCACGTGGCTGTCACATGGCTGTCACGCGGCTGTCATGTGGCTGTCACGTGGGTGTCACGTGGGTGTCACGTGGCTGTCACATGGCTGTCACGTGGCTGTCACGTGTGCCCTCGTCACGCCTGTGCTGCCGCCGCCGCCGCCTCCTCCCGCAGGCGCCGCCGCTTCTGGCGCTGGAGCAGCCGCCGCTCGCGCTCAAACTCCTTCATGCGCATCACATAGCTGGGAACATGGGGATGACACGGGAATGACACGGGAATGACACGGGAATGACACGGGGAGTGACATGGGAATGACATGGGAATGACATGGGAATGACATGGGAATGACATGGGAATGACACGGGGAGTGACATGGGAATGACATGGGGATGACATGGGAATGACATGGGAATGACATGGGAATCACATGGGAGTGACACGGGGATGACACAGGGATGACACAGGAACAACATGGGAGTGGAGTGACACGGAATGACATATCCCATACCCGACATCCCATCCCCCATATCCCATATTCCGTACCCCATATCCCATCCCCCATATCCTATCCCCCATCCCCCATATCCCGTACCCCATACCCCATATCCCATCCGTATCCCATATCCCATCCCCCATAACCCACACCCCATACCCCACATCCCATGCCCCATACCCCACACCCCATACCCCATATCCCATACCCCCTATATCCCCCCTATCCCCCCGTTCCCATACTCGTGGTGCTGGCAGGCCTCCCAGCCGTGCTGCAGGTCCCGGCAGCTCCACGGTGCGGGGAAGGCGTCGCGCTTGCACCGCAGGAGCTTCACCAGGTGATGGGCGCAGAAATCGCGCTGCTCCAGGGGCACCCGCGCCGCGGCCAGGACCTCCGCGGAGGCCACCATGGCTGGGGGGGAACGGGGTCAGTGGGGTAATGGGGAAATGGGGGTAATGGGGACAATGGGGGTAATGGGGACATGGGGGCAATGGGGATAATGGGGGCAATGGGAGTAATGGGGTAATAGGGGTAATGGGGGGCAATGGGGACATGAGTGGGGTGATGTGGAGCTGGCACATTGGGTGTGATGTGCTCCTGGTGGCCCATAGCACCCATAGCACTGTATAGCACCCACAACACCCATAGCACCCACAGCACCTACAGCACCCTATAGCACCCATAGCACCCACAGCCCCCATAGCCACCCCATAGCCCCCACAGCCCCCATAGCCACCCCATAGCCACCCTATAGCCCCCCCATAGCCCCCATAGCCACCCTATAGCCCCCCCATAGCCCCCATAGCCCCTCCATAGCCCCCATAGGCCCGATAGCACCCATAGCTCTCTATGCCCCCCCACAGCCCCCATAGCCACCCCATAGCCCCCACAGCCCCCCGGTGCATGCACAGGTCACCCGGAGGTCACCCGGGGGTCACCCGGGGGTCACCCCAAGGTCACGTGGGGCACTGACTGCGCGGGCGGCGCTCCGGCATGCCCAGCTCGGGGGGAAACGTGGGCATGCGCAGTGGGTCCGGCTCCGTGTCCGCGCCGCCCGCGTAGCGCCGAGCCAGGTGCGCGCCCATCGCGGCCGGAACCGCGCTGGGAAACGGGAACGGGAACGACGGGAAACGGGAGCGGGGACGGCGAACGGGGAACGGGAACCGGAACAACGACGGGAACCGGAAACGCCGGGTAGCGGCGCCAGCCCGGAACGGGAAACAGCGCCACCGGCAGTGGCGCCCGCCCGGACCTTGAGGCGGGAGCACCCTCATGGCGGTCCCCAGCCCCATGTGGACGCCCCCTCCCCCCCCATAAACCGCTGGAGATGGGTGCCCCCCCCATGACCCCCTCCCAGCACCCAATGGATGCTTCCATCCATGCCCCTCCCCCGAACTGGGACCACCCCTCCGCCACCCAGCACCACCCACCCCATTGGGGGGGGCTCTATGGACCTAAAGGTGCCCCCCGCCCCCCAATCCCCCCAGGCCTTGAAGCTTAAACCCCCTCCCCTATGGACCCCCCCATGACATTAATGCCCCCCCCACAGGGTGATGGATGAGGGTCCCCCCCCTTTGAGCTTTGCTATGGGGGGGGACGGGACTGGAGCTGCCCCTGTGGTGCCCCAATGAGACAGGGACCCCCCCCCCGGTGCCAACCTGAGCCTGTCACTGAAACTGATGTGGCCTATTGTGTACAGGGGGGCTGTACAGGGGGTACTGCTTAAGTCATAGCCGGGTTAACGAGCTCACCAGGTGCCTTATCAGGCAGTGCCAGGACAGAACCTCCTAATGAGGAGAATGGGGGGGCTGTACAGGGGGTACTGCTTAAGTCATAGCTGGGTTAAGGAGCTCACCAGGTGCCTTATCAGGCAGGACTAAGATAAAGCTTCCTAACGAAGGGAATAGCCCATTAAACCAGCTCATGGACCAGGCCCATCCAGCTCCTAAAGAGCATGCGTGAGGACCAGAGGTAGGAAGGCTCCTTTACTTCATCTGCAGACCCCTGCCCGAGACCAGCAGGAGGCACTGCGCATGCGCGGAGCGCCTGTTAGCTCATTATAATACGAAGCGGGCTAGACTATGAATATGTATGACTCTACAGGGTAAATGTAGAAGGAAAAGGGCGCTAAGGGACACGTGCCTTTTGGGGGACCAAACCCCAATGCGCCTTCAGCTCAATAAAGCGAACCCGCTTTACAACCATAACGGGTTGTGGCGTCTGGTCCGCTATCACCATGGAGCATCCCGCTCCCAGCCCCATTCACCCGCCCGCTGCCGGCAGCACCCCACAAACCCCATTCCTTCTGCCCCCATCCCTTCATTCCCCCCCCCCCCCCGAAGCTGCCGTTTAACAACAGCCTGGGCCCGATTCCACCTCTTTTTGGCCCAAAACGGGCTGGGAGCTGCTTGTGGGGCAGCAGCCGTGTCCTTGGATGCGGGCCTGCGCGGAGCTCCTGGGGCCGGTCCCATTCCAGGCTCTGGGATTTAAGGAGGATCCCTCAGGGCTCCGGGATTTGGGTGCTTTTATGGGGCAAAAAGCGGCGGTTTTGGGGTCACTGCGGGATAAATCCGCACCAGGGACCTCGCTCCATGGGGATGCTGCTTCCACCCCTGCATCCCTCATCCTTGGGGTCCCTTGGGCACCTTCCTGGTCCTTTTGGGGGGCTCCCATGTGCCCGTTTGAGCCTTTGGGTACCCCCCATCTGCTTCCATTGCCCTTTGGGGTCCCCCCATCCACCTTTGGGGTCCCCCCATCTGCTTCCATTGCCCTTTGAGGGTCCCATCATCCATCTTTAGGGTACCCCCCATCTGCTCCCATTGCCCTTTGGGTCCCCCCATCCATCTTTAGGGTACCCCCATCCACCCTTGGGGTACCCCCATGCATTTCCATCCCCCTTTGCAATTACCCCATTGGGTGCCCCCCCCATCCACCTTCACCCTCACCCCCTCCATCCCCCCCCCACTCCCCCCACGTCCCTTTGGGATTGATCCCATTCGATCCCATGGGATCTCCTCCTCCTCCTCCTTAAACCCTCCTGGCTCCTTGCCCCCCTCCTGATGGGCATCCCCAGCTGCTATGGAGGAGAAGTGAGTGTCCCATTGGGAACGGGGGGATCCCGTTGGGAAGAGGGGGGTCCCATTGGGAAGGGGGGATCCCATTGGGAAGGGGGGGTCCCATTGGGAAGGGGGGGTCCCATTGGGAAGGGGGGGTCCCATTGGGAAGGGGGGTCCCATTGGGAAGGAGGGGTCCCATTGGGAGGGGGGGGTCCCATTGGGAAGGGGGGGTCCCATTGGGAAGGGGGGGTCCCATTGCTGGTACCCCCCCATTAACCCCTTTCCCCGCCCCATTTTTAGGGTGCCCTCAGTGGAATCCTATGAGGCCGCCATGGTGCTGAGCGGGGTGGGGGATGCGCTGGGGTACCGGGGGGGGCGCTGGGAGTACTGCACCTCGGGGCCCCAGATCCATGCGGAACTGGAGGAACTGGGGGGGCTGGGGGCCATCGTCCTGGAGCCCCCCGAGTGGCCCGTGAGCGATGACACCGTCCTGCACCTGGCCACGGCCGAGGCGCTGGCCACGGGTACGGGGGCACCCCAAAGATGGGGGGGATGGGGGGGACACCAATGGGGGAGCCAAAGGGGGGGGGAATGGGGTGAAGAAGGAGATGGGGGCCTAAGGGATGGGGTCTTAAGGGATGTGGTACCCAAGGCATGGGGGCCTAAGGGATGTGGTACCCAAATGGGGTACCCAAGGGATGGGGGCCTAATGGATGGGGTGCCCAGGAGATGTGGTACCCAAATGGGGTACCCAAAGGATGGGGGACTAAGGGATGTGTTACCCAAATAGGGTACCCAAGGGATGGGATGCACAGGGGATGGGGTACCCAAAGATGGGGTTCCCAGGTGATGGGATATCCAATGATGGGGTCCAAAGGGATGGGGTACCCAAGGGATGGGGTCATAAGGGATGGGATGCACAGGGGATGGGGTGTCTATGGGGTGATGCTCCGCCCACTTGTGGGGGTCCATGTTGGGGGGGGGTCTCACTACCGCCCCCCCAGGGCTGGAGGGGGAAGCGCTGCTGCAGGAGATGGCCCGGCGCTACGTGGATGCAATGGGGGACATGGAGGGGCGCAAACCGGGCCCCACGAGCATCCTGGGTGAGGGGGGGTAATGGGGGGTAATGGGGATGTCATGGAGGGGTCTGGGGGGGTTATAAAGGGGGGGGGGGGGGGGGCATGGAGATGTAATGGAGGGGTCATGGGGGGTCATGTGGGGGTCATGGGGGGCACTGGGGGGGGCATGGGGATGTAATGGAAGGGTCATGGGGGGGTCATGGGGGGGGCCATGGGGATGGCATAGAGGGGTCTGGGGGGGCCATGGGGGGTCATGGAGGGGTCATGGGGGGGTCATGGGGGGTCATGGGGGGCACTGGGGGGGGCCATGGGGATGTAATGGAGGGGTCATGGGGGGGTCATGGGGGGGCCATGGGGATGGCATGGAGGGGTCTGGGGGGTTCATGGGGGGTCATGGAGGGGTCTGGGGGGTTCATGGGGGGTCATGGGGGGGTCTCACCCCTCTGCCCCCAGGCACATCTCAGCTGCAGCCGGGGGTCCCCGGCGGGTACCGCATCCCCTTCAACCCCACGGGCACCGGGTGCGGGGCCGCCATGCGCAGCCTCGCCATAGGGCTCAGGTGGGGCCGGGATGGGGCCATGGGGATGGGGACAGGGAGGGGATGGGGACAGGGAGGGGATGGGACAGGGAGGGGATGGGGACAGGGAGGGGATGGGGACAGGGAGGGGATGGGGACAGGGAGGGGATGGGGACAGGGAGGGGATGGGGACAGGGAGGGGATGGGGACAGGGAGGGGATGGGGACGGGGAGGGGATGGGGACGGGGAGGGGATGGGGACAGGGAGGGGATGGGGACAGGGAGGGGATGGGGACAGGGAGGGGATGGGGACGGGGAGGGGATGGGGACGGGGAGGGGATGGGGACAGGGAGGGGATGGGGACGGGGAGGGGATGGGGACAGGGAGGGGATGGGGACGGGGAGGGGATGGGCACAGGGAGGGGATGGGGACAGGGAGGGACGGGGCCATCGGGGATGGGGTCATGGGGGATGGGTCCGGGGCGGTGCCGCAGCTCCCCCCATGCAGGTACCCCCGTGTTCGGGACCTCCCGACCCTGATCGCGGTGAGCATCGAGAGCGGGCGCATGACCCATCACCACCCGACGGGTGCGCAGCACTGGGGACGGGGTACGGGGGGGGGACCCCGACCTGACCCCACCTGACCCGACCTGACCCCACCTGACCCGATCTGACCCCACCTGACCCGACCTGACCCCACCTGACCCCACCTGACCCGACCTGACCCCACCTGACCCCACCTGACCCGACCTGACCCCACCTGACCCGACCTGACCCGACCTGACCCCACCTGACCCAACCTGACCCCACCTGACCCGACCTGACCCCACCTGACCCGACCTGACCCCACCTGACCCGACCTGACCCCACCTGACCCGACCTGACCCCACCTGACCCGACCTGACCCCACCTGACCCCACCTGACCCGACCTGACCCCACCTGACCCCCCCTGACCCGACCTGACCCCACCTGACCCGACCTGACCCCACCTGACCCAACCTGACCCCACCTGACCCAATCTGACCCCACCTGACCCCCCCCCGTGTCCCTGCAGGGTACCTGGGGGCCCTGGCGGTGGCGCTGTTCGGGGCGCTGGGGGTGCGGGGGGAGGCCCCCGAGCGTTGGGGCCCGGAGCTGCTGCGGGTCCTGCCCCTGGCCTGGGGCTACGTGGAGGGCACCGGGGTGGCCGTGGCCGAGAACGCGGAGGCGTGGCCGTTCTTTGGGGAGGCCTGGACCCGGTGAGGGCCTTGGGGGGGGGAAGGGGCTGCCCCATAGTCTCCCCCATTGCCTGCCCCATTCCCAGCCCCATTGCCTGCCCCATTGCCTGTCCCATTGCATGCCCCATTGCCTGCCCCATTCCCAGCCCCATTGCCTGTCCCATTGTCTGCCCCATTGCCTGCCCCATTGCCTGCCCCATTCCCTGCCCCCTTGCCTGCCCCATTCCCTGCCCCATTGCCTGCCCCATTCCCTGCCCCATTACCTGCCCCATTGCCTGCCCCATTACCTGCCCCATTGCCTGCCACCGGGGTCATTGCTGAACCCCCACTGCACCCCCGGTGTCCCCAGGACCCCATGAGCCCCATGTCCCCACCACTCCAACAGCCCATGATCCCATTGTTCTCATGGTCCCAATCTCCCCCATGGCCCCATTGTCCCAATCTTCTCCATGGACCCCATTATCCCCATTATTATCCCCGTTATCGCCATTATTATACCCATGTCCCCATCTCCCCATCACTCCAACTCCCCCATTATCCCCATTACTATCCCCATTATAACCCCCATTATAACCCCCGTTATTACCACCATTATCTCTATTATCCCCTATCATTACCCCGTTATTACCCCATTACCCGTTATCCCCCATCATTACCTCCGTTATTACCCCATTATCCCCTATCATTACCCCTTTTATTACCCCCATGATTCCCATTAATATCCTCATTATAACCCCCATTATTACCCCCATTATCCCCTATCATTACCCCCGTTGTTACCCCATTATCCCCTATCATTACCCCCGTTGTTACCCCATTATCCCCTATCATTACCCCCATCATTACCCCCATTATCCCCGTTATCCCCCATCATTACCCCCATTATTACCCCATTATCCCCCATTATTACCCCCATTATTACCCCCATTATCCCCTATCATTACCCCCATCATTACCCCCATTACCCCCATTATTACCCCCATTATCCCCTATCATTTCCCCCATTATTACCCCCATTATCCCCCGTTATACCCCCCCTTATACCCCCCATTATCCCCCCCATTCCTCCCCCTTTATCTGTATCCCCTCCCCCCAGGTACCTCTCCTCCCGCGGGCTCCTCCCCGGCTCGGGCCCCCCCCGCCTGCCCCCGTTACCGGACGCCGCCTCCCGGGACCGGGAGTACGAGCGCTGGGCGCTGGGGGCGTGGCCGGGCCGCAGCGGGCACGATGCGCCCATGGTGGCGCTGGAGGCGGTGCTGGCGGCGGGGGGGGCCTGGGCCGAGCTCTGCGGGCGGGCGGCGCTGCACGGGGGGGACAGCGACAGCACCGGGAGCATCGCGGGGGGGTGCTGGGGGCTGCGCTGGGGGCTCGGGGCCGTCCCCGAGGGGCTCCTCCGGGGGCTCGAGTACGGGGAGAGGCTGAGGGAGGCGGGGAGGGGGATCCATGGGGTGGTGTGGGGGGGGCAGCGGGAGTGAGGGGGGGGGGAGTGATGGGGGGGGCATAGGGATGGGGGGGACAGGGGGAGTGATGGGGGGAGTGATGGGGGGGATAGGGGGACATAGGGATGGAGGGGATGGGGGGACATAGGGACGGGGGACAGTGATGGAGGGACATAGGGATAGTGATGGGGGGACAGGGGGGCGGTGATGGGGGGACATAGGGACAGGGATGGGGGGGATAGGGGGACATAGGGATGGGGGGACATCATAGAGACAGTGATGGAGGGGATGGGGGAACAGTGATGGGGGGGACAGGGGGACATAGGGATGTGGGGGATGGGGGGCACAGGGGGACGGTGATGGAGGGGATGGGGGGATATAGGGATGGAGGGGATGGAGGGGACATGGGGATAGTGATGGGGGGACATAGGGACAGGGATGGGGGGACAGGGGGACATAGGGATAGTGATGGAGGGAACATAAGGACATAGGGACAGGGATGGAGGGGACATGGGGACATGGGGATGGTGATGGAGGGGACATGGGAACAGGGATGGAGGGGATGGGGGGACATAGGACCAGTGAGATGGGGAGAGGGCATGGGGGCAGTGAGATGGGGACATCAAGACATGGGGACATGGGGACAGAGGGACAGGGGTACATGGGGTAGGGGATAAGGGATGGGACGGGGACAGGGAGGAAGCGAGATGGGGACAGGGACATGGGGACATCAAGTTATGGGACAGGGGACAATGAGACGTGGGGCATGGGGCCTGGGACACGGGGTCCTAAGGGACGTGGGGACACTGGAGGTGGCCTCTTCCCCTTCCCCTGCTCCGGTCCCACCTCTTCCTTCCCCCTCCTTCCTCCCCGGCCCCCAAATCCCGGTCCCACCCCCACTTTTGGGCTGTTTCCCCCATCCCCACCCCGCTCCCATTGGGCACAATTAAAGAGCTCCAAACGTCTCCTTGGTGCCGCTCTTGATCCCGTTCCCATTCCCGATCCTTGGAGCCGGGTGGGACACTTGGGGGCATGGGGGGAGCAGGAGATGCTCACGTGAGGAGCTCTCAATGGCTTCACACCAGGGCACTGGGGCTGCTCCTCTCCTCCTGCCCCTTCCCTTTGCTCCCAATCCATCCCCAAAGCCTTTCGCTTCCCATTGGAGACCTGGAGGACCTCACTGGTCCAGAGCAGCCCCATGGCCAGGTGGGGATTCCAGCTGGGGCCAAAGGTCTCCAACTTGGGTGCTCCTTAAGGATGCTCTTGGAAGTGAGCTCCTTGGTGACCACTCAACCATGGCATCAACCACAATGAAGGGTGATGGAGGAGCCCATGGGGACAGCTCAACCATGGACCCAATCACAATGAAGGGTGATGGAGGAGCCCATGGGGACAGCTCAACCATGGACCCAACCACAATGAAGGGTGATGGAAGACGCATGGAGACAACTCAATCGTGGCATCAACTGCAACCAAGAGTGATGGAAGATCCATGGGGACAGCTCAACCATGGACCCAACCACAGCCAAGGGTGATGGAAGAGCCCATGGGGACAACTCAATCATGGCATCAACCACAGTGAAGGGTGATGGAAGACCCATGGGGACAACTTAACCATGGACCCAACTGCAACCAAGGGTGATGGAAGAGCCCATGGGGACAGCTCAACCATGGACCCAATCACAATGAAGGGTGATGGAAGAGCCCATGGGGACAACTCAACCATGGACCCAACCACAATGAAGGGTGATGGAGGAGCCCATGGGGACAGCTCAACCATCCCATCAACCACAGCCAAGGGTGATGGAGGAGCCCCCAGTATCCCTCCCTTTGGAACCCAAGATGAGCATCGATGTGATCCCTTCTGCTCCACACTCATTCCATGGTGGTCCCCACCAGCCTGCTCCTCAATGGCCTCCATGGGGTGGATCTGGGGCCTTGCTGTGATGGGGGCACCAGGAGGTGGGGCAGGAACCTGTATCCTGCCAGCACCTTCATCTGGGGCTCCTTCAGCACTGACCAGAAGAGCTCCGGCCTTGTCCTCAGGACCTGGAGCGCATCCGGAGCCGGATCCTGGTGGGTGAAGGCCTTGTAGAAGCTCCTCGCTTCCAGCCCGTTCCTGCCTCCCAGAGGCCATTGGACAGGAGCCTCCTCGTGTCCAAGCCCTGGTGGCCTGGAGGAGCTCAGGGGCTCTGACACTGGTGCTGGTCTCCACTTGGGCACTTTGGCTTTGGTGCACGGTGAGGGCCCGGCTTTGCCAGAGGAGACCTTCGGGATGGCTGGAAGCTGCCTGGGAACAGGGGGAGAATGGGATGGGGTTGGGGTCGCAGCCGCGGTCCTCTTGGTGCCAGCGGCTCAGGTGGTGCCGGTGCTCATGGAGCCCCAGGGATGATGGTGAGGAATGGGAATGGGGCTGGGAAATGCTCCCGGACTCACTTGAGTTGAGATTTGTCCTTCTTCATCTTCTGGTCCTTCATCATCTTCTGGTCCTTTATCATCTTCTGGTCCTTCATCTGGTCCTTTACCTTCTGGTCCTTCATCTTCTGGTCCTTCATCTTCTGGTCCTTCATCATCTTCTGGTCCTTCAGCATCTTCTGGTCCTTTATCATCTTCTGGTCCTTCATCTGGTCCTTTACCTTCTGGTCCTTCACTTTCTGGTCCTTCATCTTCTGGTCCTTCATTATCTCCTGGTTCTTCATCATCTTCTGGTCCTTCATCATCTTCGGGTCCTTCAGCATCTTCTGGTCCTTCAGCATCTTCTGGTCCTTCATCTGGTCCTTTACCTTCTGGTCCTTCATCATCTCCTGGTCCTTCATCTCCTGGTCCTTCATCATCTCCTGGTCCTTCATCTTCTCCTGGTCCTTCATCTTCCGGTCCTTCCCCTTCTTATCCCATGGCCTCTTGGCATGAATGGAGCCCCAAGAGGGAAGCAAAGGCAAATCCCGGGACATCCCTGGACCTGGGAAAGACGCAGACATCAGAGGAGCTCTGGGCTCTTCCCACCATGGCCAAGGATGCTCTTGGAGCTCCTTCCCAGCACCTCCATTCCAATGCTGGTTTCCCACTGGAGCAGTGATGGGAAGGAGGAGCTGGGGACTGGGATCTGATTCCTGGGGCTGGGAATTGCAGGACCCGATGAAGGAGTTGGCCCAAGCCCTCCCCATGGATGTTCCCATTGGATCTTAGCCATGGGCATGGGCTCGGAGCTGCTTTACCTCCCGTGTCCTGCTGGATGGGGGGGAAACCCTCTCCTTCCGTGTCCTCACCGGGGACGTATCCCAAGGGATGAGGAGGGCTCGAGGGCTGGAGGAGGTTCCTGGGTCTCTTGGATGCGAGCTCCAGTTGGAACCTAGGCACAAGGGGAGGGCACCAGCGTGACCCACGGCCGCCCCTGCTCATCCGCCCCATCCCAAAGGATCCCCCCGGACAAGGATGGGGAAGAGTTCAGCTCCTCCCTGTTTCCCCACGGGTTTTATCCCCAGGGATCACTGGAGGCCGAACAGGAGCCGATGCCCCCCATTCCCCGCACTGGTCCCATAGGGCTCCATCCGCGCATCGGAGAGGGGGCGTGGTTTACACCAAAGAGGGCGGGGCTTCAGTGGAAGCATGGCTTGTCCGGGAATGGGATGGGCTGCTGCGGGGGGGGGAAAGAGGGGGGCGTGGTTTGCTTGAGGGGGGCGTGGCTTGTGGGAGGGGGCGTGGTTTGCCTTAGTAGGGGATTAGGAGGACCCACAGCTGGATTCAAACAGGGGGAGCAACAGCTGGATCCAATGGGACACAGCTGGATCCAAATGGGGGGACCCACAGCTGGAGCAAGGGATGGACCCGGATCCAATGGGACACAGCTGGATCCAAATGGGGGGACCCACAGCTGGAGCAAGGGATGGACCCGGATCCAATGGGACACAGCTGGATCCAAATGGGGGGACCCACAGCTGGAGCAAGGGATGGACCCGGATCCAATGGGACACAGCTGGATCCAAATGGGGGGACCCACAGCTGGAGCAAGGGATGGACCTGGATCCAGTGGGACACAGCTGGATCCAAATGGGGGGACCCACAGCTGGAGCAAGGGATGGACCCGGATCCAATGGGACACAGCTGGATCCAAATGGGGGGACCCACAGCTGGAGCAAGGGATGGACCCGGATCCAATGGGACACAGCCAAATCCAAATGGGGGGACCCACAGCTGGAGCAAGGGATGGACCCGGATCCAATGGGACACAGCTGGATCCCTCACCCCCCCCCCCCAACTGCTTCACCCTCAGCTTCCATGCACCCCCATCACTCACTCCGGGAAGACGATGACGTTGCCTGTGAAGGTCAGGGATGCGATGGGCACCATTGGGGACACCACCAAGGTGGGCACATGGAGACCCTGCAATGGAAGCACACGGAGATGCCCTCACACCATGGATGCGGATGGGCCCCCTCGCTCCATCACTTGGCAGCGCAATGGGTCCGGTCCCAAGCCATGGGGAGCCCTCACCTTGGCCGCATCCCATTGGTGGCTCCTCCTCCCATTGATGCCGTGCAGGAGGGCGGGGTAGAAGCACATCCTCACCACGCGCTCCTCCATCAGGAGCATCCCCACGCCCCGCAGGACCAGGGCGACGTTGTGGCCCTTGGCCAGGCAGCGGGATAGCAGGGAGGTGGTGCCCAGGATGCAGCGCTGGGCCTGGGGCCGGGAGACCCCGGCAGCCGTGGCCACCTTGGAGTAGTCGAGGGGCTTCAGGTCTTTGGCACCTGGGAAAGCACAGAGGGGGGTGGGGCTTTTCCTGCTTCCCATGGAGCATTCCAAGGTGGAGCCGTCCGGAAAGGTCCCATTTGAATGGCTCCTGCTCCCAAAGGGATGGGATGCGACATCCGGCACCTCCCTATGGAGGGGCTGGATCCAGCATCTCCCTATGCAGGGGCTGGATCCAGCATCTCCCTATGCAGGGGCTGGATCCAGCATCTCCCTATGCAAGGGTTGGATCCAGCATCTCCCTATGCAAGGGCTGGATCCAGCATCTCCCTAAGCAAGGGTTGGAT